GGGCGCCGGGCGGGGCGCGCTCCAACTTGGCCGGCCAGACAGCGCCCGCCGCTCGCCCCGCCCCGGAGAGAGCGAAACTCGGGGCGGGGGCTGGAGGGGGCGGGCCGAGGCGACTTCCCGGAGCGGCGGAACCGCTGAGGTCACCCTCGCCGCCCCTTCCCGGCCCGCCCCGCCTCGCCCAGCCGGGCCCGGCGAGCCGCCAGCTGGGGCACCGGGGTGGGAGGGGATGAGGGGCGCGGCGGGGGAGGGGGCTCTCTCGCGATATTTGCCGCCTGGGCCTGGGCGTCTACTCCCCCCCGCCCCCACGGGGGTCCCAAATGCGCCCCTCTGCTAAGGAACCCTTTCCGAGGACCGGCTCCTTTCCGGGCCCGCGCTGGGGCTGTCACCCGAGGGCGCACTTTGCGGGGCGCTGGCCGTGGGAGGAAGGAGAGGACACATGGAGGGGGTCGTAAATTTTGAAAAGATGACACCCCTTTTTCGTTGAAAACCTCTTCTTAAATTGGAGTCAATTTGGCTGGTGCCTTCTTCCAAACACTTAAGCGGGCTCTCCACGGCAGAGTCCACAACAGGGGACTCCCACCCTGGCAGCGGAGCCTAGCGCAACCTCTGCAGGGGGCCAGGCACCCTGAGCTCTGTGTCCCAGAGCCCCAGGGACAGGGCACGATTCTGCAGACGTGGCGGATAGGCCGACAAACGCCTGTCGGTCGGAGGCCCAAGCGCCCCGGAGTCCAGAGCAGGCAGAAAAGTGTTTAGGGAGGGGGAGAGCCTGCGGAGGGGCGGAGTTGGCACCCTGGGGGCAAGGGGCAAGAGCAGCCTGAAGGTGTCAGGGGGCATCTAGTCCTGCCGAGAGAAGGAAATAACCTGAGGGAAATAGAAAGCGATGATTTTGAGAAGTTGGGGCCCCAGGGGTGGGGGAGACTGTTGGCTGGCAGTCTCTTCCCAGGGCAGTGATCTAAAGGGGCTGCCCTTGATGGAGCAGAGTCCAGGCACTGAGCACTGCTCAGCATCCTTTCCCAGCAATGCAGCTAGCTAGATGCTCTCATCATTACACCCGTTTGCGGGGGGGTGGGGGTAGTGAGGGAAGGGCCCACGGCCACGCAGCGGCCATAGGGCAGGCAGTAAGTCCCTGAACGGGGATTCGAATCCCGACAGGCTCCTGAATTCCCACCTGCACTGCCCGCAGCCCCAGAGATGGAGGCTGGGCTGGGGAGGAGGAGTCCCAGCCAGGGGTGGGGGGCAGGTGGAAAGGAGGCCTGGACTAGGGGTTACAGAGGGTGGGACCTCAGGCTGCAGGAGGAGTGGGAAGGCCTCCAGCCCAGCTCCTCAGGAGGAGGGAGCAGCCCCTGTGGGATGGGGGGGGGGCGGTGTGAGCCACCCAGGGGTCCTAGTCAAATCCTCGGGTTGGAGACCTGAGGAGGGGCCCGGCACAACTGGTATCTCAAGTCTGTGGGAAGGAAAGCCACATTTTTATACTCAAACATTATTTCTTAGTCATTTGAAGTTCACATCTGATTGGACATCCTGCATTTTTCTTTCCTAAATCTGGCCAGCACCCTTGGAACCCTGAACTCACACTGCACTCAGCCACTGAGACTGCCCTGGCTCCTGAGGTCTGTCCACTCTGCACAACAACCCCCAAGGAGGGCCAGCCCCCCTCGCCCAGGCCCCCAGCAGGAGGAGCCAGATTCAGGTCAGGTCAGAGTGAACCCTGATGGACGGCCCCCGGGGGTTCTGTCTGGCTTACAGCCTGCCCGCTGCCCCCTCCCAAGCTCAGACACAACACTCGACCTCCTTGAACCTTGAAATCCTCATCTGCAAAGTGGAAGGTTAACTATAGGGCCCTGGGGTTCCCACTGTGTTCCCCCAGAGAGCCCTCCCTGGCTCCTCCCCCATTTCTGTCTTTGTTCCCAGGGCCCCACCCCCGACAGCGGTCTTCACTGACCACCGCAGCTAGGAGCCCCCCAGGCCCACCTTCTCCTTTCTCCGCTTGAGCCTTCTCTAGAGCATTCCCCAGGTCCCGAGACCGCACGACCTCAAGGTTTTCCCGCGGTCTCCTTGATGCTAAGAAGCTGGCTGGGCACAAAATGGGGGTTCAGTACATGTCTCGAGTGAATGCAATGGCTTCTGTGAGGGATGTCCAACCAAATCCTGACTGCTCCGGGGCGCCTACCCGTCCCGGGTTGCTTCCCCAGGTCGGGCCCCAGAGGCCACGGAGGCAGGGAGGGAGGCCGGCCATCCTGGGGCTCTGGGCAGACAGCTCCCCAGGCGGGCCAGAGTGAGGCCCTGGGGCGGGCAGAGTGTCCTGGCCTGCCCTGCCTGGCTAGTGGGACAAAGCTCTCCTTGGGGCCCTGACCGAGGCTGCGGGGCGCGGAGAGGGGCCGAAGCAGGTTAGAACGCTGCCTGCGGAAGCCGGGGAGGCCCGCCCAGGTAGGGATGAGCTAGAGCGGGAGGAGGGGCTTCACTGCTGGGAGTGGGAAGGCCCGGGTTAAGTGCCCCTGGCCCACCCCCCACTCCCCAGGAGGGGCTGTCCCAGGCAGCCCCAGGAAGGCACTTGGGAGCTGCCGCCCCCGCTCCCCTGCCCTCGGATCCCCTCTCTGGCCCATCGCGGTCTCGGGCACGGGGATGACAGGAGGCCGCCGCAGTGGTGCAGGCAGAGCCTCCGTGGACGCAGCTGGCCAGGCGGCCATCTGGCCGGGGAGCTGCCCCCGGGCCCCGCCCTACAGCTGCTGCTGAGACCCGGCGGGGGGTGCTGGCCTGCAAGTCCGGCCCGATGGCTGGCAGCTGCAGAAGGTGACAGGGCCCGAGGTCCCTGAGCTCCGGGGGTGGAGGGGAGGCAGCCACCCTCCTGGAGACTGCTACAGCAGTTTTTGTTGGAAACATCTGGCCAAGGGGCTCCCCAGAGGCCCCAGCGTTGGCTGGGGCGGGCTGACAGTGGGTCCCCATCTTGCCATTCTATCCGAGGTGCAGAGGGGGTGTTCTTGAGGGAAGCAGAAGAGAGGCCAGAGGAGGAGAGGGTTGGCCCTGCCTGCGGGGCTGCCCCAGTCCCAGGGCAGGCTCACACAGAGGCGCAGACGGGACTGGGGGCTGCGGAGATGGGGCGTGGGGCTCGCGGCAGGTCTCCGGCACTTGGCGGGCACCAGAGCTCCATGCAGAGCAGGCAGGGAGGCCTCCTGGACACAGGCCAGCGGCCGATCAGCCGGGAGGTTTTGGACCACCTCGATGCAGCCTCCTGGCCAAGATGCCTTTCCTCAAATGGCCACGGGGCTCCAGTGAGGCCACATATTCCATGAGAGGGCACCCTCCCAGACCCCGCCCCCCCATTCTCTTCTTGTCCTGGGCCTTCTCCATAGCCCTGCCGGGCCAGGATGGGGGCAGGTATGGACACCCTTCCTGGGAGAGCAGTGGGTAGGTGGGACAGTCCCTGAGGGGCCCCAGGGGCCCACCGGGAAGGTTCGCGGGGTAAGGGATGGACAGATGCAGGACATCTGGTGGCTGAGCCTCAGGGCCGGTGTTGGGTCCCAGAAGCGTGGATGACTGGTCCAGGCCTCTCCCTCGGTTTCCTGGAGGCAAGGCCCTGCCTGGGGGTACTCAGAGCTGAGAGTGCTGGGCTGGGTTGGGGAGAGGGGCAGCGGGGCCAAGGGGAGGAACTGGCAGTCACTTCCCCCTGAGCAGGGGAGACTGCCTCTGCCCCAGATGAAGTATCTATACCTCCCAGGCTGAACTCTGACCCAGAATGAAGAACAAAAATGCCCCTCTCCCCCACAAAATACATACCGACTCCAGGAGGATAACTCTCAAGAGTCTTCCTTTTACAAAAGGATTACTATCAACTTGGAGGCCTCAGGGATGGGGGGAGGGGCCGCTGCTGGAGAAACTTCTGGCTCTAGCCTAGCGCTGGGCCCAGGGAGGGGTCAGGGCTGGGGAGTCATCAGCAGCGTCCTGGGAATCTGTAGGTGGAGGGGACTGGGGTCCCCCTGGCTTGTCAGCCTGTCAGCCTTGCGCCAGCCCGCCCCCACCCCCCCCTGCCAGGTGGACAGCAGGGAGGGGCCTGGGCTGCCTCTGTTCTGACAGCCCTTCTCCGGAGTCTGAACCCCCTCTGGGTGTCTGTCCAGCTCAGGGCAGGCAACCCAGCCCAGGTGTGCCCAATGAAGCCAAGGACCCCGCGGATGCCCAGCCACGGCCCCTGTGGCCCTCTGCTGCCTCTGTCACCATGTGAAGTCTCCCATCTGCTTTCGTAGAGCTGTCCCTGTCTTTCCTAGGGGCAAGGGGAAGGTCTTGGAAGCCCCTCTCCAGGGATGGAGGGCCCTGCCCAGGGCCGGGTGGTCTTTCAGCACAGGGGCCTATGACCCCTTCCTCCCGAGCCTTCCCTCTCCTGTGTGCATTCCAGCCAGCCTTCCGGCCCGGGCCGCTCACGCTGACCTCCACCTAGCCTCCTGCACGCGGCCCCAGGACCACTCGCTTGGCAGGGTCCTCGGACTGGGCCTTGTGGGGTCGTCTTGGCTGCTCCCAGGCCCACAGCACTGCTACCCACTTGGGGCACCTTTGGAAAGGCACACTAACCCACCCCACCCCCACGCCACGGAGGCAGAAGCCCGGGGATCGTCCCCGGCCCGCCCTTCCCCCACGGGCGCCCTGGACGCGCCGGGAAACTGAGGCCGGGGAGCACGCGGCCCGGGCGGCGTGGGCGG